AGGAAGGAAGGAAGGAAGGAAGGAAGGAAGGAAAGAGTCCATCTCAATCAGAATTGGTCATCCACAAGAACCACAAGAAAATTCATTGCGTCCTTTCCTGCGGAAAACCTCAAACAGTTCGAAAAAGGAACAGAGGAGGAGAATGGAGCCCCTGCAGTCTTCCTCTGCAATCTCTGGCTTCTTGTGTTGTATTATAATTACACTTTACCTTTCATAGTCACGACGGGATCCATGGAGAATCCTGGATCAACAACAAAGTTTCCCAGTTTGCCTTTTTTTAATTTCTCGATGGATATCATCAATGACTTGTTGAGTTTCTTGGAGCGATGAAGTGTTCATGTAGAGACCATAATCAACTATTACGCCAGTTCCTTTTCTATTCACAAATTGAAATAAAAATGGGTAAAGTTACTGGTCCCCTGTAACGTAAGAAAGATAGATTGATTGGTCAGGGATTTTTTTAATTGCTTGGCTAATTAACCAGACATCGAGTACTGAACCGTCGTATGCGGGACTTACGGCTATGGTGGAGATTCGGCCCCGGTACCGGATATCCCAGGAGGAATTACAGACTGATCAGGAAGCTCGGCCGAAGCCTAAGGGAGAGGTTAATCGGCCCCTAGATCGTCATTAACCCCTTGCTGTTTTTGCATAGCCACTAGTGACCATAAAATTATGGTCAACATGGTGGTAGGCAGGGGGATCCGACTAACAAATATCAAAAACCCACGAAAACAATAGTATTATCCTGGTCTAACGAGATAATAGTCTAGAATATGAAGACTTAACTATACAATAGAAGGTATGAGAAACAAACAAAATGAAAAGACGCAAAGAATTGACACTAATGAAACGGATATCAGTTGAAAATTTGCCCAGAACATTCCAGCTACGATTAAAAATACGTCGACGACCCGGAGAACGAAAGCGTTAGAATAAGATAAAAGATGGGCATTTAAACGAGTTACAACGTGTGTAACTGTGGTTGAGCGTTCTCGAAGCGAAAGTTATTAGAGTGCAAACAATTAATCCGTGAAACGTACACTAAATACTAAATAGTACAAAATATTGCTAATTAAACAATAGAAAACAATGGAATTTGCTTGAAATTGTTCTATTTAGTATTACTAAAGTTTCACGGTTATATTGTTTGCACTCTACGAGCAATCCAGACAAAATAGTTAATTAGTGAAAGAAAATAGAAAAACACTGGAGGAATTATTTCCCGTTCACTAGCATTATACTTCAAAGTTCACTCCTTTCCATGTGGGATATACATTAAAACGCAGATAAAAATCAAAATCGAGATTTTCTTTTCTTTTCTTTTTCTTTACACAGTTCAGTATGATCTTCAACTGAAAAATATTTTACCAAATTTAATAGCCAATTTTGACGTTGATATATATATATATC